GTGCGACAGACAATAATAAAAACTCCCACCGCTTCTTATAAATAAAATTTATTTATTCTCTCTCGAGCCGCCATGATGGAAAAGCGCGGGAAAACTAACGCGACGTTCAGGCAAAGGAATCGCGTATTCTGCTTGTACACAGTTATGATTTTTAATGCAATATTTCTTGAGCACAGACTGCTAACAATACCTCCGGGTAACTACATATATTATATTTACTTTCTTTGTTATTCTTACTTCCTATTTAAGTATGTATTTATATTTTTCTCTGACACAGACGTTTCCAAGAACTTCGAGCATCTCAAGAGAGATTTCAAATACAATTTTATTTATTTGTACGATGAATTCGTTTAGAAATCAAATTTTGGTGTGAATAAGAATAAGTACACTCGTTTTTCGGCATAAAAGGCTGTTATCATACTTATATATATCTACCTACTAGGTACTTACTAAACTGATGTAAGTTTTATATGCAATAAGTACCCTACTAAATGTTTTACTACGTTTTATCTACAGACCAAGACGTTATATTTAAATGGCACAGAAGGATATTATGTATAGTTGTATGCCTTTACTTTAATACGGTTTTATATCCTGCCACAATTTCCTCTATTACCAGACACTTTTATGTTTTTATGTTCCTACGATGAAAAGTGTAGATTGTGAACTCCTTGTTCGTGACGTGAACATGATACCCAAGTGCTGTTACCGAAAAATAAAGGAGGAACGACGAACGAGGCAGTAAAAATTAAATTCATTTTTAATTAGACAAGCGCAAATTTTTCTTTAATAAATAATTAATTCCTTTAAATTTTACATTTACAAACATAACTAAATTACACTGTAACTCTAAACATAACACAGGTCGCGGAGAACCTAACGGGGAACCGGGGCTCCGGCTCGACGTGCAGGAGAAGGAATGGGGTGGTGTTTAGTCAGTAAGAGTCTGACACTCCCTCCCGCCTCACCCAGGCGGGAGCAGTCATTCGCTGATTTTCCCCCCTTTAAAAAATGCATAATACAGACAAAAATTAATAATGAAAGTCTAGGTCAGCTAAGCAAAAGGTCAAGTTTAAGAACGATAAAGCGCGAATAAAATTCGCTCGTCCTCGGGACATGTCATAAATAGACATAGACAACAAAGTCTGGCACATTTTCCAGACGATCCAGATATAGTCTGTGGCTAACTTCATACGTCTGACTAGAAATAGAAGGGACTTGATTATTCATTTTATTGTTTTGTAATAGCACTTTGGAATAAACATACCGACAACTTTGTTTAGTGCAATAAATACGTGTGATTGTAGACTAAATTGAATTCCAGGTCCTTAAGCTCTGATGCTATGATATGTATCTGTCCTGAATTCTCGTGACGCTTTTATAATTTAATTTAATTTATAATAATATGTAATTTCATTTCATTTAATCCATTGCTCTATGCTTGTACTCGCATGATGTGATTTCCTTTAATTGAAGGAACACAACGTTATTGTAATGTCTGGTGGATTATATTTTAGCATGTAAGTGTATCCTTTGTTAGGAGTCCAAATAAATAACATCACGCCTTTTAAACTGTCAAACACCAAGCGGTCACCGGTGACCGCAACCTATTGTTCTATAATTGTATTTACAAAACCGGTACTCGACGAGTTAATTCCTTAAGTGTTAGGTCATATAGATACAACGTAAGGCCCAATTCCTACCGGTTGCTATGATTAAACTTCTGCAATTTGTCATTGCATCCTGTGTTACCTCTTATCACATTTATAAATGGACTTGTAAACCGTAAAATGTGCGTCTTGTAAGAACATTACCATGTTTACAATAAACTTTCGTTATTTATTTCAATAGATAATAAATGAACCTTTCACATTTTTTTTACGAAAAGAAAATAAAACAGGCCTTATTTAATAGAAATTATTTGATAATCTACTTTTATTTGTGGAGGTCTAACTGGTGGGTCGGACCTAACCGTAATGGAATTGAGGTCGGCTCCCTTTTAGTCTACAGATACGCAGATAATTTATAAATATTTATTTTTGAATCTCTCTGTGTAATTATAACTGGGTTTTAAAAACGTACAAATGTTCTAGGGTTAAATTAAACTGTCAAACACGAAGTGGTCACCGGTGACCGCAACCTATTGTTCTATAATTGTGTCTATAATGACGGTACTCAACGAGTTAAGAAAATAATGAAAAAACAACATAGTGCCTTAGTGTATTTTCATACCCGTTTTTTAAATTTACTCTTAATCATTTATGAACTCACGGGACAAGGAGTTTGAAGTTCAATCTCCAAATAGCACGATATATAGTAGGGTATTTGTATTACAAAAATGTTAATAGTGTGACGGGGTCTAGATTTTGTTCTAAGCTCCTAAAACAAAACAGTTAAAAGTCACAGAGAAATTTTTCTTCATGGCACACCTCTTGTAGATGCAGGGCACAATTCCACGTGGATGTAGATAAACAAGTGTCATTTCAATAGGTAACACTACAATTAGACCGAGTATTTTCGTAATTGGCACAAATATGATCAACGTATATCACAGATGTACAATATCCATGTAAGATTTCCTCTAATAATATTCTGGTCTTTGGCAAAAACTACTTCAGCCATACATTCCTTGAAGAATAACTTTTTTATGGAATAAGCCGGTAAACGAGCAGACGGATCACCTGATGGTAAGCAATCGGCGTCGCCCATAGACACCCGGAGCACCAGTGGCGTTACAAATGCATTACCGGCATTTTGGGGATTAGGAATTTGAGGATTTCTGGGATTAGGGAGATTAGGAAGGGGGTAATTGAGCCTCCGGTAACTAACACATCATTACGATATTTGTCTAGCCAAGTTCAATCTTCCGTATGTTTATCAAATGTATATCATCTATCTAGGTGTATGAAGAAATTAGATTTTGTCTGTAGCATCAACATGGAACATACCTAATAGGTATTAATATAATTAAAACTTTCTAAACTTTATCTTTCTAAAAATCCTGAACAGAATCATTCATTAACAATGTGAACCCTTTTATTTTTTTCATTTATTCCTACTAATTATTTAAAAAGAAAGAATAAAAGCATAAATACAGAAAATTTTCTTCACCCGCCCTTCAAATACCACTATTTATATGTATATAAGTACATACATATAATTCATAGTATTCCCAATCAATATAATCGTGATTGCTAAAAGTTTAGAAATCAAATGAACATTAGCAATAACCTAGTTCAATCACGTGAAGGTTAATTGCCATTCGCATGACAATCCAATGTCAATGCAATTGCAATCCAATCGTGACTTCTATCAGTGTTTGGACTGTTTTATCGATGTTATTGAAGTATATAATGACGTCATACTTGATGATTTTAATAGAGATTGAAAGTATTTTTTTTTTATTTTCTTCTTTGGCAACCGAGTCTCCAAAACGGTGTTGTCGACTATACTGCCAGTGTCGAGTGGTGACGGCAAAATTAATGAACCGTCGAACTTAACTTTGCGGTAGTTTTATGTTGTTAGCAGCTGAAAGGACAAAACAATTGGGTTAGTAAACATAAACATTATTAACTATTTTATTGTATATACAGTGGTGTAACAATACACACTACAGACTGATATGAATATATGTACATCGTTTACATCATTGAACACCGTCATATTTAGTAAATTGGGTACTTACCACCTAGTCAAATTCAATACTTTTTTCGAACTGTCAAAAACGACAGTGTTCTACAAATTTTGTACGAGATTGTGAATTATGACGTCACGTTTATTTAGAGTCAAACAGCATACTTATTTCTTAAAAGATTTGCTGGAAAAATACTGTGAATATTTTTGTATTGAACAGTCAAAATAAATTATTTTTGATGAATAAATAATAATAAACAAATACCCAGTCATTAGATTAATTTGTATAAGTGTATTATGTATCAATTCTCTCTTATTTTATATCCAAATTTAACTAGGGATTGTTATGGCAAGTCAATAACGCAAGCTTTTGGAAAGCACAATAATATATTATTGTCATTAAATCTAAATTAAACTTAGGTGTAACAATTCACAACCTTTAGTTTTAATACATCATTAAAAAGGACAAATGCTTAAAAAGAATACACCCTTAAACAAGACGAAAATACGACCACATTTCTAAAACACACCCTTGAAATGAATACGTTGACACTTTTTTAATAAACTAGAATAAGAATTGAGTGCCCTATTATTTTGGTCTACCATATTCTAAAAATATAACTGTCAAAAGTAAAATCTAATTTCCGTGTTGTCACATTTCAAGTGTAGGCTATTACTAGAATACACCAAACACGTGTTTATCTACGTTATAAACTTTGACGTAATACATTATGTAATAAAAAATAAATTTATTTGAAAGACCTCATTTTGCGTAGCAGCCTGTCTACTACGGCGTAGTCACCGTAGCAACCTGCTACGAAACGCTACGCGGCGTAGTCAAATTCACGATTACAAATACCTACTCTCTAATTAATTTGCATCTATGGTACCTAGCCATAGAATTTTATTGCAGTACAATGCTACATAAAATTAACTTTATCACCATTAAAGGAAAAAACAAATACGAAAGCTTAAGGAAAGTATTTGAGCTTAAGTAATGAAAAAGGTTTTACCATCTTATTTTGATTACCAACATTTGTTGTTATATTATATGCAATAGGCTCACCCCCTATTACATGGGACTCATAACGTAAATAGTGAAAAGTGGGTGTTACATTGTACAGTAGCATTAAGTGCCGTAATGTACACCTCTGCTTACCCCTTCGGGGGTAAAAGGCATGTTGTTATGTTGAAGTTAATAGTGTTTATTGGATATTAGATAATATATATGATCATCTCTGTCTCAATAGTTGAACCTGCTTTATAAAACAATAATCTGTGTATTCTATTGTAGATTATTTTGTCAGAAAATCATTATTTAGTCAACATACCAGTTTACTAGTATTTTAATTTCCATTTATTCACAGCATGCGTAGAAAAAGAATGCATCGACTGGGAAGGGAAGTCTGTCCCCCACGGTCTGCTGTACGTGCCTGGCCCGGGAGTGTGTTCGTTGTGTGTCTGCTACCACTCTGAGCCTATGTGGTGCAAGGCCATTTACTGTGATCCGCCTTATGTGAGTTACTTGATGCTTAAGTTTATTTTTATTTATAGTGTTACACTGTTAAATCAATGACGTGATTAATCCGGTTGAAAATAGTCTTAGAACGTTGTAGATTTTTAGCTATGGTAGACTGACATTACATTATATGCTGTACTTTTTATATTTGTTTTTTTAAATTAACCTTTTTATTTTTATGCTTAATTCGTTGTGTTCGATGTTGTGTTCGATCGTGTTTCCAGGTATTATCTTAAAGTTTGCAATGTCTACATAACATTTAGAACCCTTAGATTTTGGCTTAGTTCCCTGATTATTCTACATTTATCAACGAATGAAATACAAGATAATGAAATTACTAATACCTGAATAAAGAAACGCTAATCAATTTTAAATCGCGCTTAAGTGTTGTGTTCTGTCACTAAAAATTCTAAGAAAAATAACAGAGATGGCACGATACTTAGGTACTAAAAACTGACTTAAAATTTCATATGACCTTGATTTTTAAATTGACATTCTTGACTTTAATTAACCTTTGTTTCTTTGTATTAATTCAATTAAAATATTATATATTAATATTTGTACGCCAAGTAAGGCGAAACATAGTGTAACTAAACCTGTTATTAACTTATGAACATCCATGTAATACCACCTATGTTACAAATAAATAAATGATTATGATTATGATTATGATTATATTTAAGTACCTACAACTTAAAACTGAGTGTAGCCTTCCAGTATTCGAGCCGACCTAATTGATATAAAATAATCATCAGTTATACCTAAAATAATATCAATTAACCAAAAACAGAAAGACTTTGAACAAAATAACAACCTAAATTAACTAAAATCGCAGGTTACTCACGTGAATATACTGAGAAAAGATCTACTGAAAAAAACTACTGAAGAGTGAGCTGCGCGACGTCGCCGCGCATGCTGCTCATGTGGAAGAACCCCTCTGTGGTTCGAAACTAGTAGAGCTTTTCTCAGTATATTCACGTGAGTACCCCGCGATTTTAATTAATTTAGTGTCACGATAGTTATTATAGAAAATAACATTCTGAAAATTATAGACTAAACCTAACCCACCCCTATTATATTATAGGTCAACAGAGCATGTACTAGACCTCATGAAACATGCATAATGCTACAAAGTTCTGTGAACACGGCAGAGTTTTTAATTGTCACCCGACACGTTACAGCTCTACACCTAGTTGTTGCGAAACTAACAAAAACTATTCATTATTAATATTCAGTTTTAACACGGCAAGTTTTCATAGCTAGCTGGCTAAATACTAGGTACTGACAATTGTAGTGATTAGGCTTAATTTGTATCTTTTATCTATTTAACTCAATAGAAACAATTACGTGCGACAGTTTTTTTAGATTCCCTTTGGCAAGCAACACAGATAGAAATCAATATTTAAACAATTATTTCTAAATATCAGTAGATACGTTAACGGTATTCCAAGTTTTGACTTATAAGTATAGTAGCTAAGCTACGAGTACATTTCCAGCTTACCAGGAAAGCCACAACATCCTTAATTAGAGTCATTTGTGTTACCCGAGTCTTACATAACCCCATCGATACCATAACTGCAGACGTTAGATAAAATAACTCAATTAATTTAATATTTTCCACAGTTCTGCAAAAATTTCCGCGTCGGAGCACGATGCTGTGAGTTCGAGTGCCTCGACCCTCCCGGTGAGGACGTGCGGTACAGAGAGAGGGAGCGACTCCGAGCCCTCATCCTCTCCGGCAACTCCTCAGCACCTCACCATGGACCCTCCATGGAACTTAAAGCCGGGATCTCCCTCCTCGCAGTAGTCGTCGCACGATTCGTATGAAACACGGACCATGTAGACACTAACCAATTGAAAATTATTTGAAATCGAGGGAATCATTTGCCTGGCAACACTACGGTAAAAAGGTTTTAATTTATGGAATGGGGACGCAAACTGAGTGACATAATGGCAGCACTGGCTGGCATCGTTTGAATTTCGATCGTTTGTAAAGTAAGGCCAGCTATGCCTAGTTTGTCAATCCTTCCTAACTAAATGCCAAAACTCACAATCGATTATAATTCGATCTGCCTTTAACTTGTCCTTACGTCCTGCGTTAAATGCGGGACCTCTATTTCTCTAGAACTATGATTTTTCATATTCAGAGCACACGAGTGTACATTAATTACCATTATTATTTCCGTTTACAACAAAATGAATAAATTCGGACCAATTTTATGTAACCGAGTAGCATCGTGTTGTTCTTTTATTTTCTTTAATTTGAAAATGTTGAATGTGAAATGTAAAAGTAGGATCGTTACGTAGTATACAATTAATTCATTCAAAAACGTTTGTGTTTCGGTAGATAAACGAAAAAACTTACAAAGAAACCTTATGAAAACCTCATTTGTATTCAACTAACAATAATGGTGCCACTATAGTCGAGAGTACATAGAGAACAAGCTAGGTCACGTCCCATAAAAGATGAAATACATGTTTCTCCCGGTCCATATGTAAATTGTAAGTCCATTAATCAGTAGGATATAATAGGGATTCTTTAAATGAAAATCTAACTACATTATATGAGTCACGCATACAGAACGCATGCCTATTTCTTCACTTCTAAAATACCTATTTCACGTAGCTAGACACATTTCGAAATTGTAGCTTTAAAATTCATATCATCGGGGGTCCGATTCTGTACGTTTTTGGCTACTGCAGTCGAGCGGGTTTACTCTAATGCGGCAACTAGCTGAAATGAAATAGCGCCAAGCTCTAGAGAAACTAGTTTGAGTAATTTTAATAAGAAAATGCTTTCAAGCAAACTTCAGGTAAAAAGCAAAGTGCCTTGAGAGACTCGAGGCAAATTTTATTAAAAAAGCTTAGAGTTTATCAAAAATTATATTATAAGAACGTTTTAAAAATTTCAAATTCTTGTTAAGATATTTCGAAATGTCATCTTTGTAAAGTAATACTCTTTACGAGTCTGAATGTTTGGACAATACTGGCTTGTTTAAATTTCCTATACCAAACGAGTGTTAAAAGTATTTTATACAATAAGAGACAAAGTTAATTCTGCTTTTCAACAAAATATTTACAGAATCGCGCCCCAGCTATTTAGTGTAAAATAAAATAGTGCAATAATACATGTAGGTAACACATCGGGATACATTGATGATAATACAATAATTTCTGTTCGTAAATAGTTGTGGTTCTTAAACGATTTTCAACTCTATAACACTAACATAAGAGCTCTTAATAACTCAGTCAATTTAAGTTACAGGGAGTATGCTAACGTAGCAAGCTACTTTTATTTCTTTTACCAGTCTGGGTCATGTCGTGTGAAGTCGCTAATGATGGCAGTTATTATCTTGAAAAGATTTGCTTATTATATTTACACGAGTAAATCACTATCTACTGAAATTTATACATCTATATGTACAACTATTAGTAATGCTACCATCAAATACCTACGGGAATATCTTGGCAAGGAAGGAAAATTGCAAAGAGCAAACATCAATCAAGATCCCGCAAAAAATATGAAAATAAAAAAACTAACGAACGAAACCAACAGGCAACGACAAAAATGTTAAAAGCCAATTACTTTTTTATTGCAAACTTCACAGATTAATCTTGTACCAAGCCCTTGTAGACCGTTTAAAAAAGAAAACGCTGAGTCATGAATACGAACATCCTCATCAAGTTGATGTAATATATATAGAATCGAATCGTTTTAAATAAAGTGACCAGGGAATAAAAATAATAAAATTCTCTTCAGATTTACCCAGATAAAAAGATCTGTCAGGGGTTTGAAAAATAGTTATCACGAATATCACGATTAATACATAGTGAAGTGGTAAGTGGATGATTTATATCCAAAAACTTTTGGAATACCTACATCGGAGTGATGATACAGGATTACAAGATTGATGATGTTTTCATAACCTGTAATGTACGATCAAGGCCTGTGTAAGTAGGTGATATTATTTTACCTACACACGGCCACACATCAATCTATACAAAACCAGTTTATCCTGGTGTCGCGTCGCATCATCTTTCTGCACATTTAACGTTCAGTTTATACTGGTTATGTAAAGCTCAATGTGTAGCCGTGTTTACACCTATGACGAATTTGATACTTAAGTATTTCAACACTACCGAATTTCGGGACTATTTATAGCTGTAGATATGAAACACCTGATGTTTTATTATACGTTAACCGTTCTGTTTTTAAATTAACGGCGCATGTTAGTTTATTGATAACCGATTCCAACGAATATCGAATGAAGAAAAGTATTCCATGGCCTAGTTCAAAATGCACTCAAAATTATTAAAAATATGTCCCACATTAAAAATATTGGGTTACAAACATTCCTGGGACCGATTAGTTCACGCGATTATTATGCATATGATACACAATTACTTAGCAACACTACGCCTTATTAAAATACATTCGAAAAACAACGTTATTCCCAAACACGAGAGAGTAGAATCGTATGAAAAGTTGAAAAGTGTATTTGCATGGCTGAGTGCTTTCTGTCCCTCGCGTGTTTGTGTTGTTTACGAGTAGAAATACCTACCTCTGATTGGTTACAGGTTACTGCTAGCTTTATTTTAACCTTGACCACTTTCACATAAGGATATTTACCACAGCTAATTACGAATACGAATTTCTAGAAATGGGTTTCGTTTATGAGAAGCTATTTAAGTTATTATAGGCACTTATTACCTAGATACGAAGGTACCATATTGCCTACTACCTACCGTGGTGTCGCACGAACATGCTATTCCATGCTCCATTTTCCCGACCATTTTTCCATCTTTTCCCTGACAATAACAAACACAACTAAGATTGATCGGACTGTTAGTACCTAATTGTTGATAAACCTACATAGTGCCCCTATTTTTATTTAGGGCATTTATCTAAGATTCCATTCCAAGACAATTTTAAGTGGGTTCTTCGCTAACTAACTACCCACCCTTTCTAAATGTTCTTGAGGTAACTAAAGATAGATATAATTGTAATAATGTCCTCTTGATTTAATATTACAATGAATTTAGTTACGCTCCATTTGGTAGGTACCTATCTAACTTACTTTTACTGTTATTTCTACTCTGCTATTTTCGTTAATAAACGAATAATTCGACCAATAGGTCGAACTACTCTAGGTTTAGACCGACCTTGATTATTGTCTATTGTTTTTCTTTTTTTTTAGAACTAATTCAAAGTTTTTGTAATGAGCTTGTCCTATTTTCTCCAACGTTTCTGTACCTAGTGACTGGACAAGTTTAGAATTCGATTTCAAAATCTGAAGTGTTTTCAAATATTGTTGTGATTGAATCTACAGTTTTATTCGAAAATATATAGGTCACACGCAGGGCATGGTGTGGGGTACCTAATTAATGTTAAAAGAAAAATATACCTACATGAATAATTGTTTGAATCCTTATCTTTATACTTCAAGGAAAGCAAAAGTAGCCCCTTTTTGTAAACGAAACCCATTGAAATAAAGAATGGAATTGAAATTATTTAACGAACCATGATCATTAACACTCAGTAGTTAGGTAATTATTATAGCTATTAATTAATTATTATAAGTACGGAGTAGCTCACCTAAGTGCGGGATCAGAATTAGAGGAATATTCTACAATCTTCGTTCAAAATGTAAAATGGTCGTTATGACACCAATCGCCTTCATTATTGGTTTAATTTCATAACTTTTTCTATGTCTTTAACCTTCAAGCGGGCGCGCGTAGTCGAATCGACCGCGGTTAATACATTTTCGTTCGTATTTTTATTTTTAGTTGTCACATGCATTTCTAATTTCTAGTAGCCTGTCACTATCTTTTTAGGAGTAAAATAAAAACTATTTCGTTGCTTGAAGCGATCTCTACACTCCACAAATTACAATTATTTAGGCTCTGGCGCAGTCGTTGAAAAGACTACACGCGCCTGTCGTCGAATAGGTTACGCGCGACGCCCAACGCGACATACACATGTCAATATTATCTAATTCAGCTTGGAGTTTTGGTGTTTTAAAGCATTTTTTGTTTAAATAAGTCGTTTATGGTTATCGCAAAGTACAGTAATCGAGGAATTACAAAGAGAAGACGAAGAAGAGAGTGAATCAGAGCTTAGCAACCAAGGCTCTGAAACTTCTCATCACATAGTTTTAGAAGAACATCTATCTGATGTGATATCATCCTTGTCGGATTTAGATGAGAATAATTTGTAGCTTTCGGTAATAAATAGCTGTTTTACAGGACGCGATAAAGTAACGAAGTAGCAAAATCTGAAAAATTACTAGAATACTGACTCAGACGAAAATAAAATCAAAATTAATGAGTTTTTACAGTTTTATCCTTACTTTTTATTTATTTTTTGGTCTACGTATATAAACCAACCTAACATATGTACCGTTTACATATGTTAGGTTGGTTTATATACGTCTTAATTTTTATTTTGATCCAAAGAATATTTGAGTTACTTTAGGTGACTTAATAATTGCTTCTTTTTCATAATTTTAATTACTTGTTGTGACAAATTTCTCTTTAAAGACAATGATATTGTATCTTAGTACAAATTAATAAATGATTATCCCATAATTATTGCTTTCTTGGTCTTATTCATCCCATAGGTCTATTCGGTTACGCGCGCCCGCTCCCGTTACAAAAGACCGCGCGCCCGCTTGAAGGTTAACTCGCTTTTTATATTTTTAAAACCGCTCTTAATGGAAAACTGTTATTTTATCTTAACGTTAGAATATCGTGAAAAAAAAATTATAATATTAGACTACCTACTTACACCATGTAGGTACACGGTAAATTGAGACTTATCAGCACTTTACTTAATTAACTATTAACAACTTCTAGATGATGGTTTTAAGGATGATTTTTGTATGAAATTCCACTCCATCTAAGTCTCAAATTACCACATTTGGATAGTTCATTGCGGTACCCAGTACCTACCTATAAATAAAAATGTATGAAAATACCAAAACCCTAGGTAAGTTTGCACGACTATGTATAAAAATACTGAATTATGATTAATAATATTTTTCTTAAATCTCACTTATATTATCAAAAGCTTCGGCCAAAAATCAAGACTAAACTTCTGTAATTATTAAAAAGGTTCCATTTTCATCCTCTCTTCAATTATTTATTTTAATTGTATCCTAATTGTTACGAATTAACTATTGAGCTGCGTCCATTATATAATATGTAAATGTATAGAATCTTATTTTATTAATGGAAAATATTTTAAAACTACATAGCTTATAAAATAAATTAAAAATATTTTTATCATGTACTCATATCCACCTTTTTTTAATGTAACACCAGTATCAAATTTCAAATAATGTCCATCGAATTATTTGTTAATTTATTTATATCATGCCAAATGGTCATAGACAATTTTGGCGGGATATTTTCTAGCTTACAAAAATAGGTTAATAATAAAACTATTGGTCCATAGATTAAAATAAATTCCATTAATGAAATTATATAATAAGAAAGAAACAGTAACGACTTGATTTTAAATATAATAGAAGTGTGCCATATACATAAAATATTATGTACCTGCATCAAAATATTGCATGAATGTAATCTGCACCATTTTCAATTAATACACCATTCAAGTACTTATAAACGCTGTGATTTTGGCTATATTTTAAATAAAAATTCAAATAATAAGCCAAAGAAATATGTACTTTAAAATACATTGATTTTATAAAAGGAGTGAATTTTCCCTTCTTTGCACCGTCTACAAATATATTAACAAAATATTAAAATAAATGGTATGTGATATTTTGCTGGTTGTATATTTTGCATACATAATTATTAAGAATGACAGCTTTAAAACATAGATAATAAGACCCAATTATTTACCAAATATTTGTTTTATTTTATTGTTGCAACATTATATATTTTTTTAATGTTTATGGATAATGAAGGACGTCATTATTGTTACTTTTTATGTTAATTATTTTTAAATTGTATGTTGAAATTATTTCAGTTAGTTATGTGTATATGTATAATAATAAGAATTAAATATATATTGTAAATATTGTATGCAAATAATTTTAAATATTAGCTTAATAAAGATACCCAACAAAAAATAATAAAATACTTGTTTTATTTTTAGACTTACATTTATATTAGTGTTACAATAAGTAATTGATTTATATGACTTTATATATGTATAACTACATGATCATCAGAAGTGGTTGGTTACTGTCTAACCCGGTGGTTACCATAGTAGGTAATAATGCAGCCAATGAGAATGGAATATGCCTTGTCCAATAGCAGCATATTCACAACAGCCTTATTGCCTTTAAAAACACTGGCAAAAATTGCAGCAATAGAAGTTTAGAGAAAGCAATTACTTCTTTGCATGGTTTGCAAGCTACAATTAATAGTACAGCCAGAACTGGGTGAGATTTTTTGTATTTAATATGCATTTAATCCGTTGAAAATTGTTGAAAATCATCCCCTAAATTTGTTCATACAAAAGTAGTCTCTAAACATTGGAAATAAGGTCTATAATGTAGTTAGTGGAGAGCGGTCACCAGTGACCACTTGGGGATATACGGGTTAAAAGTTAAAAGCATTTCAATGACATATTATTGTGTGTAAAAGTGATAATAGTTACTTAATTGAAAGGTCCACCCAATAATACACCTTTTAAATAAACAATATATAATTACAGTAAAAAATGTTACTTAGTTATATGTCTACAACGGAATGAATGATCACCACCTAAGACCCTTTTCTTGTAAGTCTCGTCTAGCCTGTTTAATTTCTTCTTGCAACTCCTTGGCTGCTTCTTCACAATTATTAAACGTGAATACTCGATATAGTATCACAGTCACGGCATACAATCCAAAAAGTATTACGAATATTACAGGAGATACAAGTACCAACGTCATGTTTTTCTCAATCATTGGATGTTTAACATAACCAGCGACTAAGGAGTACCATACTGCGACAAACGCTGAAAGCACTGAAACCCACTCGAGTAACTTCGTCATTGTTCTGAAAGAGATAATGCAAAAATAAATTCAAATTCAATGCGTAAACAAAGCAAGATGTTTTTGTTACAGAAGTATTGTAGGTTAATAACTTACCTGAAGAAAAGTATCTATTGCACTAGTAAATTATTCAGTTCCCTGATTATTTCAGGAGTTATCTTGTAAAACGAGGTATTTTGCTAAAGAAAATATATAATCGGCAAATCCAAAACACATCACCACTGTCCAATTTGACAAGATGGAGCAACTGACAGTTTACTTACAGTGACATGTAACATTCGTTTTGAAATAAAATAAAAACTGACATAGAATAACTAAACAACAATAAAACCGACGAATTCCAAGGTATTGAATAAGTTCAACTTATTAAAATAAATCTAAATTATGTTGAAATACCATGAAATCAAGTTTTTCATAGCCAAGAAAAATGACATCGTTTAGTCTTTAGCCAACTCTATGAATGACATCTATTTTGGTTTTTGACGCTAAACTGACGCTTGACGTGACATTACAAAAGAAAACAAAAAAAAAAAATACGCGAACACAGCTGCAGCATTATTTTAATTTTGTTTGAATATTAATTTAAATAATACAAGATGAACGAGATTGACGATAAATTTTATTACGTGTATAGTTCGTCGTTAGATCACAAGGTGCAGATAAAGATGTAAGTAAAAATTCAATCATGTTATATTTACCAGTTACCTACGTATTTTATCTAAAGCATTTTCATTGTTTGTCTTGCGAAATATTTAGTTACGTACTTTCATTTGCTGAACAGTTCAATGAACATACCGCAAGCAGGAATTATGACGACCCACTGACCGATATTGATTTATATTTGTAGATATTTAGAAAATATTATTATCTTAATGATAAATTAATGTGAATAGTATGATAAAATACTGATAAAGAATGGCTGCTGCAGCTTGCAGTTTTTGCTATAGGTAGTTGTTAATCATGTTTTTAAATGAGGGTAAAACATGAGTTACCCACATGTAGCTTAACATTTTATAGTGTACAAAACAAAATAACAATAAATGCTAATAAAAGAGACCATATTCCTTACTATCTGTCTAACACCTTCTATCTCTTTTCAGTGGCACCTTAGAAGGTAAAAGAGCCAAGCCAGAATATGACCAGCTCCTCACGGACCCTATGCTCAAGTTCTCAGGCCTCTGCCAAGAAGGGTGCTCCGACTTATATGTGACATGCCAGATACTGAGTGACAATCAGCCCCTGGCTCTACCAGTCACCACTTCTTACAAGTCCTTCACTAATAGGTGGAAGTAAGTTTGATTTTTTTCTATCTACCTACCTAACAAAGTTCTACATGTCTTACAACAGCTACAGGCACATTTGTATGTTGTCCAAGCAAAAGATTTGCAACAGCATTATCAGCTAACCGCTGATCATTTACCATCAGGTGACTCGTTTACCTCCTATTCCATAGAAAGAAAAAATTGTGCGTAGAAGGGAATTTTCTATTAACTGCATTAATGCCTGTATTTAAGACACAATAGAATATACATTGTGTCTCACATGGATCCACATTTAGACACACAGTGGGTTAAGAAGGTCTTCATACATCAATTAATGCTTTTGGTTTAGCTATATATAAATACAAAATTATCAACAATTTTCAAGTAAATATAATAAATCAAGTAAGTATAAAAATTTTCGAATTTCTTTTTATGAAAGTTTTTTTATATAAAGGAGGTATGTTACAAAAAGAGTTCATAATTGTAGTGTGAAGTTTATTAACTCGTCGAGTACCGTCATTATAGAACAATATGTTGCGGTCACCGGTGACCGCTCAGTGTTTGACAGTTTAATGACTGACTGACTTCGGACTACAACAGTTTAAAAATAGGTCTGTAATAATTAAAAAAAGAAGTCTCAAGTGAACACCTGTATTAGATTATTTTTATTAAAAGTATGATGATTTGAGGCTTCTGCAGCTAAATGTTACATAAATTATGCAAATAAATTATAATCAACAATAGAACTATCTATAGCTCCAATTTACATACAAATTTATATTCAATTAAAAATAATATGTCTGAATATTCACAATATTTACTTATTTAGTCAAACTTGATTCTATTTCATAGAAGATATTTGTAACAATAACATTCAGTATATCTATGTATTTACATAACATGTAGGTATTTATAAATAAAAAGTATTATAAAATAAATTCTTGGAACTAGCTGAAAACAAATCCTATAATAAAAATGATTTAGTTTCTTATGCATTTCAAAAAAGTAAAAACAAATGCAAGGAAAAGAAACAATCAAACAAAAAACAATTTGAATGGGCCGGCTCTACCGGAGTGATACCACGGCCTCACAGAAAACCGACGTGAAGCAACGCTTGCGTCGTGTGAGTGAGGTTATTGGAGGCCCAATTACCCTCCCCTTTACCCAATCTCCCCAATTCCTGAAACCCCAACGATCCTCATACTCCTAATCCCAAAAAGGCCGGTAACGCACTTGTATTACCGCTTCTGATGTTCCAGGTGTCCATGGGCGACGCCGATTGCTTACCATCAGGTGATCCGTCTGCTCATTTACCGGCTTATGCCATAAAAAAAACTGTCAACTTATGATTTATTTATAGACAAGTAGCACAAAGGTATAACATTACCTTTACCTACTGTCCTAGTCTCAGTCAGTATAGCATTCAAGGCTAAACCTAGTGCTAGAAATACAAAGTCAAAGTCAAGTCCTTACAGGTTACAGCATAATTGGTTACTAAGTCAGCCTTTAACATATTTGTCCTGATCATTGTTATAGTTAATGTTGAAAATCTGTTATTGAAAACATAACATCTCGCCTTTTTACCCCGAAAGGCAGAGGCTGAGGTGCCCATTACACCACCTAATGCCACTGTATAATGTAACACCCACTTTTCACTATTTATGTTATGAGTCCCATGTAATAGGGGGCCTATTGCCATATACCAGGCTAATTCCAGACTCAGTGCTACTACTGAGTTTTTTTTTAAACCCTGTAATAGTACTTTGCGTTACCCGGGAATCGAACCCGAGACCCCTGCCAGGCTAGGGGTCGCACTTGCGACCACTCTGCCAACGAGGCAGTCAGGCAGTCTGTTACTGATATTTTCGACTTAAAATCTTACAGCCTAGATCTTAGTAATCTAGATTCTAGGTGTAATATTCTTGAATGGTAGGTACCCACATTATTCTATTTGCCATTTCCTGGTCTAGTACTTTTGGTATCTGTAATTTGGCAGCTACAATTTTCGGTATCCTGCCTCAGGGGTCATGGACATTTTCTATATACAAGTAATCTTCATTGAATACCTGTGTGGTCATAAGCATTCGGTTTATATTTGTTTGGAAAAGAAGAGAATAGTGAATAACTAGGACAAAATAACATCACTTTTGTCATACAATAGGCACCGTTCTAAGCTGAGAATTGTGATTAAATAAGTAATTGTTTAGTGTCGTCTCCATCAGAAATACTCCCTAAATCCCTCGCTTTTTTTGAAGGGGAAAATTATCCTATGACTTCTCCCACCTTGGGTGAGGCGAGATGAAGTGTCAGACTCTTACTGAACAAAATCCACTCCGTTCCTACTTCTGCTTTTCGAGCCCGTTAAATACTCATACGCGCAGCTCCGTATCGGCATCAGCCCTACTAGGCCCCATCTGTGGTGGTCTGATGGCTCTTTAAGGAAAGTGCCGTACGCTCTGGTAAATTCCTTGCTTGGCAGTTGCATTCGTGACCTATCATGCCAGTAGGCAGTGCACAATAAGTCTATTTCACTGTTTAATTTTTTTCGCAACTTAACCACGTTTTCTCTTCCACAGTTGGAATGAATGGGTGACTCTGCCGGTATTCTTCAGTGATCTACCTCGAAACGCTACGCTAGCCATGACGATATACGACTGCGCTGGGCCAGGGAAGGTGATGGTGGTCGGTGGAACCACAATATCGCTGTTTGGGAAGCATGGCATGTTGAGACAGGTTGGTTTTTTTTAACATGTTTACTGTTACGTCATCAATGCAAGATTTAATGATCATTCGTAGCTTCTCACGTGGGATTCTGTAATTACTTCGACACGAATGGCTCAGCTCGACCGTGTGATACCACGGTCTCACAGAAAACCGACGTGTTCAGTATGTGGGTGTGGTTACCAAAAGGCTGGTAACGCATTTGGGTGTTCACTTCCCATCAGGTGGTTCGTCAACTCTTTTACCTAGCTAGAGGGTAAACGAATAATCTTACGTTTGTGTGAAGTCTGGCGTTACGTTTTTGTCTGTTTGCTTCAAATTCAATCACGGCTGTTCTGATTTTTGGACGGTCTTTCTAAAGGATAGAAGGGGACAATTCGTAAAAATTTGAGTAGTCAAGCTGAAGCTGTGGGTGGCAATCTGATATGTGACTATGTAACATAGGAAATGATGGAGCTAAATCTATGTTCAAGAGGTTATCGCTGTTTTCAATTAACAGTGCAAAATCAATTAACTTTACTGGTGTTGTCGTTCAAGATTAACCCAAGGTGTCGCAAGAATGTAGTTGAGTAAACACGCATTGATTCCCCACGTGTTGCTGACCATAACTCCACTGGCATAGAGATATAGTTCAAATAGTATTTCCATTCAGAATTCCGTGTATTAAGTTCCACATGCTCCTATTTTAATTACTTTGCCCTCCTTTGGAATCAAAGCCGCGAAATGCCTTATACTTAGCGGTTGGTAGTAGCTTTTACGACCTTTCGACCAAAGGGCTCGTACACAAAACTGCGATGCGAATTGCTGCGCTACGATTTCGTGGCGTAAGGCGTCTCCCAGGGTGATTCGTATTCGTACTAAACGTATTTTAAATTGAAAACTAAGTCATGACATTAATTGTAAAAAGAAGTGTGCACTTCTGTTATTGCTTAGGAGATATAGAAAAAAGAAACAAAGAAGATTCTGGGAAGATAAGATTTTGATGCGGGATGCGAATCAATTCGCAAGTTCTTGCGATGCGTAGAGGGAGCTCGCACATTCTTGCGACGTCGCATCGCAGTTTTGTGTACGAGCCCATACGAGACAGTTATGTAAAACTTTTATATAAATAAACAAGTCCCTTTTAGAGGTAATTTGAGTACGAACGTGCGGAATACTAATTTATAGAAAGTTACATAATAAAAATATGTTTTTATACATTTCGAATATGATTAACCTACTAAAAAAGTTGCGGTTGATTTATTATGCCTATAACCGGATAAACT